TATAAATATATATATATATATATATATATATATATATATATTTATATATTTATTTATATATGTATATGTATGTATATAAATAAATAAATGTTTCTAAGTTAGCCAAGGCTCATATTTATTGGCACTCCAGTAAGTTTGTGGTTTGTTTTCATTAATTAGTCGTTAAGTTGTTAGATTTGTTTTCAACATTTGTTGTCATAAAATCTTCACAAAACAAACTCGATGCTCAGGTCTGGTTTTTACAGAAACCAGAACCCTGAAGTCCTGCGGTCACGGGCCTGACGGTGACCTACACGCTGCTCTGAAAGGATTTGGACACCATGAAGTGATAATATGATTCATTAATCGCCTCCGCTGAGCTGATTTCTGTCATCAGAGAGGATGCTGGGAGTCTCCATAACTCATGGTGCGTTCATGTTCATCAGGATAAGTCAGGTTCAGGTTAAAAGCAGAGGCCATGTTTTTTACTGCAGGGTTTATTGTTTTATGTTTTCAAGACAGTGCATAAACTAAATTAATATTTCAGATACTTTCATAATTTGTTCTTTAGTTTATGTACAGTCATGTTTTTCTGATGTCCCTGAAGGCACCATGAGTCCTTTGCTTTCATCAGAGAGGAACGCTGGAGGAGGACCAGTCGAGCCAGGATGAGTTCTATAGCCGAGCTTAAGAACGGGTTCAGAGCAGACAAAATGGCTGCCATCACGATTGTCTGATCATCTGGGCTTCATGTGCGTCCTGCTGGACCACAACACGGATATTTTCACTAAAGTTACAACTTATAAACTAGAGCAGCTTTCCTAACAGAGCACTTCACTCTCAGACTGCAGGTTTACTTGTGGTTCCTAGAGTTTCCAGCAGCAGAATGGGAGGAAGATCTTCCAGTTATCAGGCTCCTCTCTTGTGGAACCAACTTCCAGTTTCTGTCCATGAGGCTGACACATTGTCCAGTTTGAAGACTTTCCTTTTTGATAAATCCTATAGTTAGGGTCGGCTTAGTTTCATGATATTTCCCTTAGTTGTGCTTGCTCAGAGAACTTTAGTCTTTTTTAAACTCTGTGAATGTTTCTGTTCATGTCTGTCGGAACAAACTGAACTGAAGCTGATGCTACTGATGCTAGGCTAACTCTGACAACACTTGCTGCTAGCATTGTTAGCCTGGAGCTAACATTTTGGCTCTTTTACCATACCATACCATTTTATTTATTAAACACTTTAAACAGCGACAGGGCCGACCACAGTGCTGAACAAACAGAAACAATCAGGTAAAGCACACAGCAACACATAACATAATGTAAAATCAAAATATAGAAACAAAATAATAGCAGATAAAAACATAATGATTAATACAGTGTGATGCATTCAGGTTCAACACCGATCATACAGTGTTGAAAGCCAGGGAATAGTAGTGGGTTTGTAAGGGGATTTAAAAACTGTGAAGGAGGGGCCTGTCTGACAAGCAGAGGTAACTCGTTCCAAAGTCTTGGTCCTGCTACAGAGAAGGCCCTGTCACCTCTGCACTTAAGACGAGTTCCTGGAACTGTGAGGAGCAACTGGTCCGCTGACCTCAGGGAGCGTGGTGGGACATACGGTTGTAGCAGATCAGAGAGATGGGGAGGGGGGGGGGAGACACTGTTCAGTGATTTGTAGACATACATGAGTATTTTGAACTGGATTCGAAGGTGAACCGGTAACCAGTGCAGTGAGGCCAAAACTGGTGTAATGTGCTCTCTTTTGCCTGTACTGGTTAAAAATGGGGCTGCTGCATTCTGGACCAGTTGTAGTCGTGCAATGGAGGTCTGACTGATACCAAACAGGAGCGAATTGCAGTAATCAAGCCTAGATGTAATGAATGCATGCATTACTGTCTCCAGGTTCTTTTGGACAATATGGGCTTCAGTTTAGACAGCCGCCTCAGTTGGAAGAAACATGATTTAATCATGTTTACATGATTGTTATGTTTCAGGGAAGGGTCCATTATCACGCCCAGATTAGTGACTCTTTGTTTTTCTGACAGGGTTAGAGTGGAGAGGTTGATGCAGTGGTTTGTGATCGTGTCGTTGGGAGGGAACAACATGACTTCAGACTTCTTTTCATTGAAACTTAAGAAGTTTAAAGCCATCCAGTCCCTGATGTCAGCCAGGCAGTCGAGCAGAGGTTGAATAGAGCATGTACATTGTGTCTTAGGGGGAAGTAAATTTGACAGTAATCGGCATAGAAGTGGAAGGGCATGTTGTGTTTCCGGAAAATAGCACCAAGCAGCAACAGGTATAAAGAGAATAGGAGGGGACCCAGGATGGACCCCTGCGGAACCCCCCGTTTAAGCTCTGCCTCTGCAGAACTAAAATCCTTGATGGAGACACAAAAGGATCTGTCAGCGAGGTAAGATCTGAACCAATTGAGGGCTGATCCTGTGACGCCCACCCACTGCTCCAACCTAGCAATGAGGATCTCATGGTCGATGGTGTCAAAGGCGGCTGTGAGGTCCAACAGGACAAGCAGCACAGAATCACCTGTATCTGTGGATCTGAAGATGTCGTTAAAGACCTTCAGCAGGGCAGTTTCAGTGCTGTGGAGAGGTTTAAAGCCAGATTGGAAAAGCTCTAAGATGGCGTGATCCTCCAGGAAGCACTTCAACTGGGACTCGACTATTTTCTCCAGTACTTTAGAAACAAATGGGAGTTTGGAGACAGGCCGGAAGTTGGACACGACTGAGGGGTCAAGGTTTGTTTTTTTCAGGAGAGGCTGGACAGCAGCATGTTTAAAGGTTTTTGGCACCACGCCAGTGGATAAACTACTGTTTACTATATCAAGAATGGACGGACCTAGAGTTGGAAACACCTCCTTTAGTAGTCGAGGGGGGACCACATCAAAGGGGGAACCAGAAGGTTTCAAGCTGCACATGACCTGCTCTAGAGAAGATAGAGTGTTGGGTTCAAAATGGTCAAAAGGAGCTACAGATTGAGGTGGGATGATGGGTCATGAGTTGGAGGGGAAATGAGAGCCCTGGTGGTTTAGCAGCATATTTCTACTTTTTATAGCTTTTAGCTTTTAGCTACTGTTTTTATACTTTTAGATTTAAGCTCTTCGCGTTCTGGATGTTTTTCTCAGAGTCTGTCCAGAACCCTCCTTCAAAATTATGGAACTTCCCTTTAACTGTAAAATCATTCACAGAACCGGACTCGTTCCGTTTACAGAACCGGACTGTTCTGGTCCAAGTGTTTTGTTTTAACATTTTCTTTATAAAAATCAAAACAAGAAGAAATTCATTGGAAATTAACAAACAAAGGTGAAAAACACCTGATCTGGGTCAGAACTTTACCGGGTCCAGGATGAAGCTCCTGGTTTAGGTCAGAAGTAGACTTGGTCCAGGTCAGAACTGGACCCAGTCCAATTCAGAACACCTGTTTCAGGTCAGTGCTCCTATAGTCGGGGTCGGAACTGGACCTGGTTTAGGTCAGAACACCTGATCCGGATCAGAACTGGACCTGATTTAGGTCATAACACCTGATCCGGATCAGAACTGGACCTGGTTTAGGTCAGAACTCCTGTTTCAGGTCAGTGCTCCTATAGTCGGGGTCGGAACTGGACCTGGTTTAGGTCAGAACACCTGATCCGGATCAGAACTGGACCTGATTTAGGTCATAACACCTGATCCGGATCAGAACTGGACCTGGTTTAGGTCAGAACTCCTGTTTCGGGTCAGTGCTCCTAGTCCGGGTCAGATCTGGACCTGGTTTAGAGCTCCTGTTCCGGGTCGGAACTCACCTGTCTGCGCTCAGGGCGGTGAGCGTGAACACGGACACGCCCACGGAGGTGAGCTGGATGACCGGGATGAGTTTGCACGCGGCCTCTCCAAACACCCACTCCTCGGAGAAGTAGCGGAAGGCGTCCACGGGCACGCAGGTCACGAGCAGCAGCAGGTCTCCGCATGCGAGGCTGGAGATGAAGATGTTGGGCACGCTGCGCATGGCGCTGTTGGTGATGAAGATCCGCACCAGCGTCACGTTCCCCAGCAGCCCCACGGTGATGATGATGATGTACACCGAGGTCATGACGCAGCGCACGGCCAGGTGCACCGCCTCCCCCCCGTCCGGGGCGCCCCCCCACCAGCCGGGCTCCTCCGTGGAGTTCAGGGGGCTCGGAGCCTCGGGCTGAGCGGGGGGCAGGTTGGAGAGGAACTCGTCGTCCATGGTGGGGGGAGAAGAGGGGAGACCTCCGGCGAGGAGGAGGAGAGGAGGAGGAGAGAGGAGGAAGAGAGGAGGAGGAAGGAGGAGAAGAGGAGGAGGAAGAGAGGAGGAGGAAGGAGGAGAAGAGAGGAGGAGGAGGAGAGAGGAGGAGAAGAGAGGAGGCGCTGCCCGTAGAACCCGGGAGGAGAAAAAAGTTTGTCTCCGCAGCTGGTCTGAGAGGAGCAGCAGACTGAGGAGGAGCAGGGAGCTGCTGCGCGTAAAGAGGAGGAGGAGGAGGCTCTGGTTGGAGATCAGCCTCCCTCTCCTCTCCGTTCCTGAGAGAACGAAGAGGAGGAACCTCCTGACGAACCTCCTGATCAATCTGTCCGATGATTGACTCTGTACGGAGGGCCATTAGTGCCAAAATTCAATCCCCTTCAATCAAACAAATCAATAAATCAATAAATCAATCTGCTCTGCAACGGCCGATAAATCAGGCAGAACATTATGACCAGGTGAGGTGTGGACAGAAACACACACACACAGGAGAACACGCACGTCATGTGGTGCCCCCTAGTGTTAACAGGAAGTACTTCACGTACACGTGAGCTGCAGCCTCGGGTCCAGTGAAGTTCGTCCTGCAACAGTTTCAGGTAAAAGTTCATATCAGGTTGTGTAGGTTATTAAAATCTGTCCATTATCTGGTTCTGGACTCAGGTCTCGGGGCATCATAAGGAGGTCCAGCCACCTCTTCAGCTCTTCTGGGAGGACTCAAGGTGTTCCCTGAGCAGCTGAGAGACAAAGTCTCTCCAGCATGTCCTGGTCTCCGCGCAGTTGGTCCTGTCCACAACACCTCCCTAAGGAAGCGTCCATGGTCCACTCTGACCAGAGGTGAGGGTAATGATGATTAGGTGATTCAGTGGTTCATGTGATTCAACGGTTCATGCGATTCAATGGTTCATGTGATTCAACGGTTCATGCGATTCAGTGGTTCATGTGATTCAACAGTTCATGTGATTCAATGGTTCATGTGATTCAGTGGTTCATGTGATTCAACAGTTCATGTGATTCAATGGTTCATGTGCTTCAATGGTTCATGTGATTCAACGGTTCATGCGATTCAATGGTTCATGTGATTCAACGGTTCATGCGATTCAATGGTTCATGTGATTCAACGGTTCATGCGATTCAA